GGCTGTTAGAATATCCGGGCTTTCGGCCCATATGTATATATTATGTAGTTTGCAGTAGTTGGGAGGTTACTTTGTACGTAGAGGACTGGGTTTCCAACTAGGGTTCGGGGTTGGGATTATATATATATATATATGTACATGTGACTCTTGAGAAGTACACAGAAGAATAAGAGAAGAAGCTTTGTCCGTGGACTAGTTTTGATCACACCGATCAAGGAAACCACGTAAATCCGTTTGTTCTGTTTCGTATTCTCCGTTTTGTCTAACCCTACGTCTCGATTATCAACAACTCATTAAGGTTAAAGCTGAATGAATACTGTATGACACAACTTTATCTGAAAAACATACGATGAATCTATTGTTATCTAAACCAAATATTGTATTTTCGTCATTGATGACATCATATTTAACAACAAATATTCTTTAGTCCAAGTTAAAAAATTACATCGAAATGTTTGTCTTAATTCATTATTACTACCTATATAAATGTAATATACAATCTATGTAATTAAAACTATGAAATCTACTCTAAACTAAGTAATAAAAAAAGAACAAGTTTGACACTTTAGCTCTAGCACTCCATTGTTGGAGCAAATCCTACTTTTTTTAGTGCCAAATAATTCTAGCACTCTATCACTTTGGCCCCTTATAGGAGATGGTATTAAGTTCCAATTCATATTTTTCAAAATTATACCACTAATTTTGGAATTTAATGAAATGCAAAAGAAGACTTTGCTAATAGTGAAAGTAGTGGATTTTATAGTTAAGATGACTATGTTGTTGAGAACATGGAAGTGAGTATCATGTTGAAGATAAGGGGTTTAGTGATGAGGACAACAACAAATCATTCGATTATATAATAACTTCGATGAGATAAATTCAACTTGCAGTGTTATATTGTAAATATTTTCTCATTCAATTTTTTAACTTTTGTTGCTCACAAGGAGAAAGAGAATATTGATGGTGAAGATTTTTATTTTGATTTGGTATATTACTTTAATTATGATTTGTCTCCCTGACATGAGTTTAGTTATTTACTTTCATCGTCACTATGTATCCTTCCAATTCCAAACTTTGCATAGAAACAAGTTCTTAAAAGTCAATGCTCTAACTCGAGTTTGTTACTTATTTTTTGTATTGATTTCATTCAATGAATCGGTTCGGATACTGAAGAACTCTATGAGGTTTATCCTTTCCAATGTTTCTAATAATATTGAAAATTTTAGAAAATTAATGATACAAAAATGTATAGCAATTAAAATAGTTGCTATCCTTTTTTTTTTGAAAGAAAACTTAGTTCCATTAATTAACCATAAATATCAGTTGCTATACAATCCTCTTTGAGAAGAGGTTCAAGAAAAAACGGTGGTCTATCCATCCATATTTCTTCTTCATCCCAATTGCAGCTCACATGTGCCACAAAATGGACTGGTTTGTTGAATTCCCGGCCCGCAAAACTCCAGATGACCCTGTCAAACTCTTGGGCTTTGGCCCGAACATCCTCACAGAGCAGCCCATTTTCTGTTAGTCTTTCTTCTTCTCGTCTAAGTTGGGAGATGATTCCCAAGCTATCTGATTCCATTTCCATTTCTTGAAAGGCCGTCCTCCTCGCCAGCTCCAAGCCAAAATCTATGGCCATTACTTCAGCATCTTTAGGGTTCCACTGCACTCTCGATCGCTTTAATGCTGCAAGCAGGCATCGGCCGGTGCCATCCCTATTCACAGCTCCCCCGCCTGTTCCTTTTCCCGACATGCAAGCCACATCAACATTCACTTTCACCAGTGTCAGTTCCGGCGGCCGCCATCGGAGATCAGGAGCTCGTTCAACCCCCTATTTCTTCGTTTGTTTCTCCAGGTAATCCTTCAACCATTCATTTGCCCTGGGTGCTATCTCCCATTCTTCCAATTTTTTCTTATTCCACAATTGACAATTGCGCTGATCCCAGATGTACCATAGGGCCACAAGAAAAGACCCCAGCTGTTCGTCCGACTCCGTTTCCTGCAGCTCGCAATACCACTCCTCCGAGGTAAGGTCCTCCCCTCTTTCTATGTATGAACCCATCGAACTTGATCTCCAAACCCTGCGTACCCATCCGCAATCGCGGAAAATATGTTCCTTTGTTTCCTTTAGGTCACAGAAAGGGCATCCTTCAGAGCCCTTTTGAGTTCGTTCTACAATCCTAGCTCCCGTGGGGATAATGTTTCTTAACCATCTCCATCCAAACACTTTCACCTTTGGGGGTATTTTAAGATTCCAGAATCTCTTCCATCCGACCGGCGTGTATAGTTCTCCCTCCTCCTCCTCATTCCTGCTCTCCCAGAGTCTATAGGCTGATTTAACTGAGTATTCACCCCTTTGCTCCTTACTCCAAATTCTCCTATCCTCAATTGGCTGTCTGGGGATGGGGATTTATTGAATCAAAACTCTATCCTCCGGATTGAAATGCGCCTGCAGTAACTTAGTTCGCCAACTTCGTGTCTGGTGGTCGATTAACTCAGCTACTGAGGTTGATGCCCCCCAAACCGTAGTTGGGGATGTTACTCTTAAGTTTTTTCTCGCTGGTACCCATTTATCCAACCATATGTCAATCTTGTTTCCATTTCCCAGCCTCCATCGCATCCCTCGCTTAACCAAATTCTTCGCCGCCATAAGTCCCCTCCAAATCCAGCTAGGATTACTCCCCACCTCAGCTTCCAATGGATCCCTGTCATGGAAGTATTTCGCCTTTAGTACTTTTGCCACCAAGGTTTGCGGTTGCTGGATTATACGCCATAATTGCTTCCCTAATAGAGTTAGGTTGAAACTTTGTAGGTTGCGAAATCCCATCCCTCCCAACTTCTTGGGTTTACACAGTTCCTTCCAGTTGATCCAATGTGTTTTCCCTTCCTCTTGTTGCTGTCCCCACCAGTAGAGTGCAATGGCCCTCTTTATTTCCTTTAATATGCTTATAGGAAGCTGGAATACATACATGGCATAGGTCATTTGAGCATGTGCTATTGATTTGATTAACACTTCCTTCCCTGCTACCGAGAGCAGCTGCCCCTTCCACGATTTCACTTTGGAACGAACTTTGTCCACCAAATATCCAAACACTTGTCTCTTCGATCTTCCTATGTTTGTGGGGGGACCAAGATACTTCTGATGAAAAGCCACACCTTTCATATTCAAAATTGCTGCCAGCTCCCTTCTCTGCTCCTGTCTAACGTTAGGACTGAAAGACAGTTCAGATTTGTGTAGGTTTACTTGCTGACCTGACTCCTCTTCGTACAAACGAAATATCTCCTTCACTTTCTCACATTCCACCTTGTTTGCTCGGGTAAAAAGAACACTGCCATCCGCAAAAAATAGGTGTGAAATCTGTGGGGCATTCTTCTTAACTCTAATTCCTTCAATATTTTTCTCCCTCTCTGCTTTTGAAAGCAGAGCTGACAGCCCTTCCACAACAAACAAAAAAAGGTATAGGGATATGGGATCCCCCTACCTTATACCTCTACTAGGGTAGAAGGTTTCTGTTTGATGCCTATTCACTAAGGTTGAAAAGGAAACCGTAGTAACGCAAGTCATTATCATCTGTACCCATTTACCATCAAAACCCAACTTCAACATAATAGCTTCCAGAAAGCCCCATTCAACCCTGTCATAGGCTTTAGTTATATCCAGCTTAGCAGACATGAGGCCCTTTTTTCCTTTAGTTCTCGCTTTTATTGAATGGAAGCACTCAAAAGCGATCATAACATTGTCCGTTATTAGTCTCCCAGGGACAAAAGCACTTTGATTTGGGACAATAACCTCATTTAGCACCCCCTTCAGCCTGTTAGCTAGAACTTTGGACAGAATCTTGTATAATACCTTACATAGGCTGATAGGGCGAAAATCCACTGGCGTTTGAGGGTTATTTTTCTTAGGAATGAGGGCTATCAGAGTATGATTCAATTCTTGGGGAAAACTCCCCGCTTTCAGATAGCCCTGCAATTCCTCGGTAACTGCATCTTCCACAATGTCCCAGTTCTTTTGAAAGAACAAAGCAGGCATTCCATCCGCCCCCGGGGCTTTTAGCGGCCCCATCATCTTCAGTGCCGCCCAAATCTCCTCCCTCGAAAACGGCTTGAGGAGTTCTTCATTCATTGCATCTTTGACCTTGCTAGGTACTGCGTCAATAACAGTATGCGAATCTGATCTGTAGTCTGACTCATATAACTTCTTGAAGAAATTTACAATGCAGCGAGTAATCTCCTCCTGCCCTGTGCAAATTCTGCCACCTTCATCTTTTATGCGTCTAACCATATTCTTTGCCATGCTATCTGAGGCTCGCCGATGGAAAAACTTAGTATTTTTGTCCCCATGCTTCAACCAATCATTCCTGGACCGTTGTTTCCAGATCACTTTCAAGAGCTCTCCTTTGTGTCAGAATAGCTTCATTCTTGCTCATTCTGTCAATTCTTTCCAGAGCCTTTTCCGTTCTTATTCTTCATGCCCTTAAGCTACCAAACGTTTGCTTACTCCAATTCTTCAACCTATTCTCACAATCTTTAAGTTTCCCCATTACTGACCCAATGCCACCTAGCTCCCACCCTTCTTTTATCACTTTCTTGCATTCCTCATGATCCTGCCAAAAAGCCTCAAATTTAAAGTACTACGCCCATCTGATATCTTCAACTAGAACGTTAGTTTTCAATAAGATGGGGTTGTGATCTGACCCACAACGTCTAAGGTGATAAACTCCTGCATCCGGGTAAAGTTGCTTCCACGAATCAGTAGCCACCATCCTATCCAGCCTCTCTTCTAGATATGTATCATCTCTGTGGTTATTGTCCCAAGTAAATGGCTTGCCATAGAAACCAAGGTCCTCCAGGAGACAATCCTCAAGGGCTCTATTGAATCCCTCCATTTCATACCCATTTGCCGGTTTATTCCCCTTCTTTTCAGTGTAGTGTTGGATGAGATTGAAGTCCCCGCAACACACCCATGGTATATTTGTCAAGCTTTTGAGATACCTGAGCAGATCCCAGGTCCTATATTTATGTCTTTGCTCTGGCCACCCATATATTCCAGTGAATTGCCAACTCTTACCATCCTCTTCTATTTTCATATCAATATGGTTTCCAGAGTACCCCTTTATCTCTAGCTGAATATCCTCCTGCCACAAGGCTAAAAGACCTCCTGCTCTCCTCTCTGATCCCACACCGAATCCCTTATATCCTGGGAATTGCTTTACTACCTCTTCCCATTCCCTGTTCTGTTTTTTGGTCTCCATTACAAAGACCACCTTGGGGTTTTCACATTGGATCAACCGACCCAGCTTTTTAATTGCCAGGGGACTCCCCAAACCCCGGCAATTATAACTTAAATAACTCATTGGGCTGGGCGGCTCTGCTCCTTGGCAGAGTCCGCCTTTTTGCCATCCTTATTGGTTTGTCTCTCTTTGTATCCTTCTGTTTCTACGTTACCCAGATTGAGAGCCTTAATCTTCTTCGGGTGTTGGAGAACATCCTCACCCAGAATCTCCATCTCTCTCTTTTGAGGTGTAACTTGAGCCTTTGTTGGTGACCTAGGTTTGGTTTGATCATGTCTCCTCCAAACCTTCCCCATCAACCTTTTTTCTTTGGCACCAGTATCAGCCGTCATCACAAATTTTTTAACTGCTCCTTCAGCTTGCTTTGGCGTTATGACCTTTACTTCTGTTGATACTCGATATGTTTCAGGGGCTATCCCCTTCTCATTGTACCTGTTCTGCTGCATATTATCCTCCTCTAACTCCCCATGTTTTTTATGTATTTCAGGGGGTTGTGTTTCAATTGGTTCAGGCACTGTCTTCTCCCCTTGCGAAGTAAGATCCGACTCTTTTTGCTTCTCATCTTTACTCAGCTGTCCCTCCTTGTCCAAGTTTGACCCTGAGCTTTCCATGTCAAACTTCCTTCGTAGTTGCCTCCATATATCTGTCTCTGCCTTTCATGCTCTGTGTGATAGCCAGTTCCTCGGTGCTGGAGGAGTTGTCCTCATATCAAATCCATAAGGATCCACCCCCAATTGTGAGGGTTGTGGACACCTCGTCTTTACATGCCCTATTCTTCCACATGAATGGCAGAAAAGTGGCAGCTTCTCATACTTCACTAGAAATTCTTTTAATTCTCCTCCTTTATTAAGCCTTATTTCTATCATCCATCTCCAAAAATTGGAAAGCGAACATGTTGTTGCCCAACTCCGTAATTTGGAATTCTTTCTTTAAACTCCACGCTTTTGCTAGGGCAATCTTCAAAGATTTAACGTTTGGTTCCTTCTCAGATAGCAGCCTACCAATCAGCCCTAGGTGGCGGACAGCTTCCATCCTGACAATATCAACATCAGTATCTTCAACTTAAAACGAAAATGATATAAACCTATTAAGAAAACTAGAAAAAATAAAAATGGTCTTTAGTTCTCCATCTTTAGATCTGAATTTTTTAAATAAAGGGTCAAGATTTGATTATTGATTGAGCCCTTAGACACTCGTTCTTGTACCAAGCTTAGTGGTCAAATAAACCTTTACATGTGTCAATTACCTATTATAATATCATCTTCCCCAATTTGGCAAGGTTATAAGATAACACAATGCAATTAGTTAATTGCCAAAATTAGTTGAAACCGAAATATTTAATGTTTGCAGATTCACTTAGACCCCATTTATAAAAACCTTTGGTCAAATAATAATTAACAAGGCTATCTATAAAAAGAAAATAATAAATCATGCTCAGCATAATTAATTAATTACCATTCTTGCATCAACGATTCACTATATAACAACACCATCCCATCATCATGATTTAGTCACAGTGCTGAGACTAATTTTATAGAGTTATTATATTCCAAGCAAAGCAAGTATTAATTGTATAATGGCAGTGTTCAATAAGTCGTTATTTTCTTTATTTTCAGTCTTACTAATAATCTTCTGTGCCTTTAGACTATCCGCCGCAAGTTTCAGGGTAGAGCTGGCGCCGTCCCAGGTGGCGGCGCTGTGTAAGGAATCCATCAACCACACTTTTTGCTTCGACTTCCTGAACTCGACCGCCGGCATACCGGCGGCAGATCTCCTCGGCGCCGGCAAGATCACCCTCAAAGTGGGCCACGACAAGGCCCAAGACGCCCGCAAGTGCGTCAAAGCGCTGCTGGCCCAAACAACTGATCCAAAGCTGAAGGAGAGCTACAAGACGTGCCTGGAAAACTACGGGGATGCCACCGATGCCATTTCCGCCGCAAAGGCTTCGCTGGTCGCGAAAGACTATGCTACGGCGAACATTAAGATTTCAGCTGCGCAGACGGACGCGGACACTTGTGACGACGAGGTGAAAGGGCTGCCGGCGGCGGCGGAATTGGGTGAAAGGAACCGGTACTTGTTCAATCTTCTCAACATTGGTTTGTTAATTACCAATAAGTTGGGGGGTTTTCATGAATAATTACCGGTCGTTGTAGGTTGTTAATGGATTGTTTATAATCGGAAGAAGAAAGTCTTTGAGTTTCAGAGATCGAGCATGCCGGTTTCCCGGTGACAGAAAAATTATGATGGAAAATTGATGTCAATTTTAGTATTTTACCCATGGTTCATGAGGTTACTTGAACAATTTGATAAGGTTTTCCCCCAGCACTTCTACTATGCTATATAGTATTGGTGCTTTAATGTACAACTTAAAGTTGTACCATAACATTAAATGTATAAGTTTAGGTTGTACCATAAAGCAATTTGTACCATTATGTTATGATACAACTTTACAACTTGAAGTTGTACCATCACATAAAGGTACAAGTTCAAGTTGTACCATAAAAGAATTTGTACAAAAAGTATAGGTACAGTCTGAAATTGTACCATAACATAAACGTACAATTTTAAGTTGTACCATAAAAGCAAAATCCTATAGCACCAATACTATATAGCATTGTAAAATTTCTCTTCCCCCATTATGAGATGCCAAAGTATGATTACCCTTGAGTCAAAATTTGAAATTAGATGTGAATATATAAATAAATAGTTAATAATTATAATTAAAAGTGATTATTCACTAACTGACTAGAACAGGGAGAGCCAAGTGGTGAAGGCTGCTGGTTAAGGTTTCACCGCGGCCGGATAAAATCGAATAGAATAAGTGAGAAAAGAGAATACGATTAGACATTTTTTCAATAGGAGATTCCGTTTTTAGTGTAATAAATTAATTTTATAACAATAAAATAACAAGAACTAAGATTTAGTGCAGTTACAAAAATCCTTGTGTCATTTCAGTGTTGTGATTTCAAGTCCTTGCATAAGTGTAGATAGCGAAATATTTTTTAAGTGCCTATCTTATAGTAGTGATCATCATGACAACTAAGAGCATATTGTATATGAAAATAGATATTTATTAAGTATTACTTTAATAAATTAAATATTGGGAAGTTACATATACATATGAAGTACATTTCTCTCTCTATCTCACAAGTCCACTACCACCTTCTCCCTTACTTCTACTTTATGACCACTTCTTTACGTTCTTCTCGATTCTTCTTTCTCTCCATTAAGACGAACGAATACTAGTTTAGAAGAACCAATATCAATTTAGAGGAATGATTCGGGCCTAATTGTGTACATTTTTTACCGCCGATTTTTTTTGACGTTTGTCGCAATTGAACTCCAAAATATTGGTTTTACGCGAGGTTTCTTGTGTTTCAATGTGTTTTATATCCTAACAGGTAAAACTAAACTCGGAGTCGAAAGTTGGAGGAAAAGGAGCAAAGACCGGACAAAGAGGAGGAAACAACCAATGTTCACGGCCTGATGTTGGAGTTCATGGTCTTACAAGGCCGTGAACTGGAGCCAAAACTCGTGAAACAAGGATTGACCAGAGAGGGTTTTCAGGTTACTGATGGCCAGGCTGTTCACCGTCGCTAAGGACCGTGAACATAGGTAACAAACCGTGAACCCGAGCCAGCAGAGCTGTGCGTTTTGGTCTCAGCACTGAGTTCACGGACGCGTTTCAATGTTCACGACCGTGAACTCAGGCCGTGGACTGGGCACAATCTCTATTAAAAGGAGCTGAAAGGAAGAAGAAAAGGGAGAGAGACCTAGTGTGAGAAAAACTTCTCCTTCTTCGGATTTTAGAGTGAGAAGATGACAAATCAAAGAAGAGGAAAATCTAGGGTTCCATATCCAAGCAAGAATTTGGGTTTCTTCAGCACAAGGAGCAAGGCTTGCATCTTCATGATGGTTTTCCTTTCCCTCTTTTGTGTTTCCCCCCCTCCTAGCATGGAGTAGTCCCTTTCTTTCAACTGGGTGTTTGTAAACTCTAGCTACAATTATGTAAATACTTGTATGAATTGAATGATTCGTGTGTGGTTGTGTTTTTAATGTGAATGCAGGTATTATTCAGAAATGATTGTGTTGTGTGAAAGCCTATCAATCTAATTTTCATTCTAACATAGCTTAGAGAGGATACCTCCATAGGTCAAGAGGCTCCATTGGAGATGGGTGTTCTTGGGATTTCATGTCTCCTAGGCTAGTTTAGAGAGGAAACCTCCTTTGTTTCCAAAGAGGCTCTATTAGAGCTGGGTTTGCTTGGGCATTCAATGCCTCCTAAGCTAGTTTAGAGAGAACCCTCCTTAACCTAAGAGACTCTATTAGAGATGGGTTTTCTTGGGCATTCTATGCCTCCTATTCTAGGTTAGTTAACGGGAAAACCTCCTATTTCGTATTAAGGACTTAGGGTTTGGTTGTGGGTGGCCGTCCGAACTCCAATTCGAGGTTGAAGTCAAACCATTCTTTAGTCGATAGGTTGAGATGGTCATATTCGTGGCTCGGATCGTATCCCATTGCTCAACCTAGAGACGAAGATAGGGGTGGGCAACGGGACGGGACGGGATACCCGTCCCGTTTGAAACGGGTACCCAGTCCCGTTTGGAGACCAAAGTCCATCCCATGTCCCAAACCCGTATGGGTAAACGGGTACCCATTACCCGTACGGGACGGATAACGGGTACACGGGGGTTACCCGTAAATTTAGATAATTTTTATTATTTGGGTTTTTCTTCGGTTTCTTTTTTTTTAAATAAAAATAGAACTGCAGTTAGCACACTGATGAACAAGGAAAAATTTGAAATTCGGTAGTTTAAGATGATAATCTGAATAGCCGTGCCACGTTAAGGTGGATTGAACTTGAGAATTTCACTCTTTTTCCTTAAATATGGTCAAGAATTTTATGCCAGATTTGTCAAGGTATTTATGTATTTCTTTAGAACCGGTACCATGTCTATGGACTAACACAAATATCTCGCAAGACGAGCTGCAGCTTGATGAAGAGAAACAAACAAACAGTAGTAGCAAATTGGTACCTTTTCCAGCCTTGGATACCCCAGTTCTTGAATCCCCACGTTGGCAATGGCAACATATACATGGTCGCCTACTGGAACTGCTATTGAAGCATCAGAGCCATATTAATACATTATTATCGAAAGTATATTAAAGTTATTTGTAATAGATTATATGTATTGATAATGTAATTGTTTAGGAAATAAACCGTAATGGGTATTACGGATACCCGTATTACCCAAACGGATATTAGCGGGTAACTCGCGGGTACCCATTATTGAAATTCTTAATCCCAAATCTCATCCCATAATAAATATTACGGGTATTTGGGTACCCGTAACTCTTAAAAAATGCGACGGGTACGAGTACACCCAAATACTCGTATCCCGTTGCCCACCCCTAGGCGAAGAAGGTAGCTTTGGCTGCTTGCGGTTTATGATCCACTAACCACACAGGGTCGTTCGAGTCTTCAAGTCGTAATTGTTAGCTAGGGGGAGCAACACCCGGGTGAAACTTTCTCAACTAAAGTCAAATCCATTTTACCTTTGCAAAGCAATTTAGTTTTAGACCTTTATTTTCACCAAAACTGATCCGCTAGATAATATTTCAAACAATCAAAGTAGCGGTACATGGACCGGCCCTGGTCGATATTAAAACATACTTGCCCTATATTGTACCCTTTTAAGGTTTATACTTGGACCTTATGTGAGATTTTATTGTGATAGTCAAAGCAAGTCAACGAACCATCACTACTTCAAACAACCTAGTACCACTTTAAAAATAAAACAAGAAACCAGTACTAAATTATACACAAAATGAAACACCTCGCCATAATTTACATATGATCCATATCATTTAAAACCTCAAAGCAAGTACGGCTGTCAATTGAAAATCATAAAACTTCACAACCCTTTAGGTTACGAATACTTGGGTCTAAAAAACTCAAACTCATGTACACATGATACTAGAGAAGATTAACTTCTCTCATATAACAATTAACATTCATGTCGGATTTTGAGTCCAGTGCCCACCTCATTGATATCAAGTCCAGTCCGGAACTGGGGAATTTTTTTGATGGGAGTGAGACATCACCTCAACGAGTAAATCCTAATATAATACCAGAATTAATATAAACAGAGTATTAGGCAATCATGACAATTATCTTACATTTTTGCATTCAACTATACCATTCTAAACCAAGATCATTATTATCCTAATACATCACAGATTTTCTCTCATAGTACAACCACATACAAAACGACAATCATCAACGATAGCAACATTACAAATCACATATCACATTCTCACTTACGTCATACATACATCACCCAAATAACACACATATAACGAAACAAAACATTCATATCACATCATATATAACAACTCCATAACCATCATCAATATGAGATGCATCATCCACATACAAACAACATTCATAACAAGCATTTACACATATAATGTATTATGCAACACATCACAATTCTCCTCCGGCTAGTCATGCACTACATAACTTCTTTCCCCACCGCCTCCTCCTCCTCGCCACCAACCTAAGGCATCAGTGAATAATCTCTCATGGCTCGGGAGATCGAAATTAAACTGATAATACACTCAAGTCCTTACGAAGAACTTATCACATCATTACTTTTCTACTCTCAATGCATGACTTGCCGTAGAGGTCCAAATATTCTCAACACACGCAATCATAGAAGAATGCATTTCACTTCAAAACACATCAATTGCATCATTATTATCACAATCACCAAAGCATCATCATCATTATCATCATCAACATCACACTAATCATCATCTCCATAATCATCAAATAATCACAATCATCACATCATAATCATCACCATAATAATCGCTATTGTGATCATCAACACCCTGAACCGAGTCATTCATACATACAACAAGAATTCACAATATTTCACATCATATCACATCATCATCGTCATATTCATCACTCTTATCACCATCACCGAGACATCTTCATGTCTCTCTCATCCATAATTCATGTACATATCACAACATTGTCATCACAATCATATCAATCATAAACAAATCATCGTTATGACATAGAGGCTTATCTAGCCTCGTTTCAACCACAATCATATCATGATTAATCGTACCTTTTCATATCCATTACGTGTATTCCTTTTCATATCCATTTCAAACACACACTTAAGCACATAACAACAAACCACATGTCCAAGCTATTTATCTCGTATTTGGGCTGCTTCATGAACCAAAATACTACGCTCATATTAATTAAGATACTATGTTAGAGTTTACTCACGGCTTCTGTCGTTACTCTGCGATTCCATGTCCTTTGAACGATTCTCCAACTTGATCTTTTTCTTTAATAAGATTATAACACATTAAATAATCCAT